TATGCATTGGCTTAGTACATATTGATATTCTTCATGAAATGGGATCTGATGTGGTTTTATACTTACATAATTAGAATTCTGTCTAGACTTGTGAAATTAAAGTAGTAGTAGTAGTAGAGAAAAAGTGATCTCTTCTGAAATGGATTACTTAGGAAACAGTTACTTTTTTATCAATATATTGTTGGAATTTGTGAATATTCAATAGTATTTTGTATCACTGTTAGAGTGAAGATTGCAATATGTAGAATGCTGTGTTGATTTCTGTATTATTATTCTTGTAGATATTTATTCATAATTTTTGAATTACCTCTCAGGAAGTAATGTGAAATTTGTCTCAAGTGTTTCAGTAGAGATGTGGACCAGCAATAAGTGCATCTCGAAAAACACTAAGTTGGGCCAGAAATATAGAGTACAGTGGGTAGGGTACTTAATTGCCTGCCAGGTTTGGACCCCCAAATTAGTAAACTGAAGGGACTGGAAAGATACTACAAATCCTTGGCACTGCATGTGGTCTCCTGAGCCCTGCCAGGATTAATCCCTGACCACAGAGCCAAGAGTAAGCTCTTCTGAGTACATCAAGGAGTGACCTGCAAAACAATCAAAACAACAAAAGTACTAAGTTGAGGGGCTGGAGCGATAGCACAGCAGTAGGGCGTTTGCCTTGCACACGGCCAACCCAGGTTTGATTCCCAGCATCCCATATGGTCCCCTGAGCACTGCCAGGGGTGATTCCTGAGTGCAGAGCCAGGAGTAACCCCTGTGCATCACCAGGTGTGACCCAAAAAGCAAAAAAAAAAAAAGTACTAAGTTGAAAATGTATTTTTCCTTCTCTTACATCATGTTCTCCATGATACAGGAGAAGGGAAAAGGTCACATTGCTTGTGTTTGGGGCAAAAATATAATTAGTAATTATTTTATATCAGTCAGTGACTAAAGTCTAAGAAGCAGAGCAAACATCTGTCACAAATGTCAGGATTTTCAGGATTTTTTTTTTCTTTTTTTTTTTTCCCCCTTTATTTTATTTTATTTTTTTAAAGTTGTAGATTTACAATTTTTTGTGCTTTGGTTTCAATTATACAATGATCAGATACCCATCCCTCCACCAGTGCCCATTTTCCACCACCATGGATAATATCCCTCCCACCCCCATCCCCGCATCCCCCCTGTCTCTGTGGCAGGGCAATCCCCTGTGTTCTCTCTCTCCTTTTGGGTGTTGTGGTCTGCAAAAGAGGCATTGAGTGGCAAACATGTTCAGTCCATAGTCTACTTTCGACATGCATCTCCCCTCCTGGGAGGATCCTCCAAACATCCTTTATTTGGTGCTCCCTTCTCTATCTGAACAGCCCTTTCCTCTAGGATACCCGGCTGGCCTCTAAGTTATGGAGTAATCCTCCTGGTGCTGATCTCAGCTATTCTTGGGTATTAATCTCATACTTTGTTACTTTATATCCCCCAGATGAATGCAATCTTTCTATGTCTATCCCTCTCTTTCTGACTCATTTCGCTTAGCATGATACTTTCCATATTGTACCACTTGTATGTAAATTTCATGACTTCATCTTTTCTAACAGCTACATAGTACTCCATTGTGTAGATGTACCAAAGTTTCTTTAACCAGTCATCTGTTCTTGGGCATTCAGGTTTCTTCCAGTTTCTGGCTATTGTAAAGAGGGCTGCAATGAACAAACAAGTGCAGATGTCACTTCGACTATACATTTTTGCCTCTCTGGGATATATTCCCAGGAGTGGTATTGCTGGGTCAAATGGGAGCTCAATTTCTAATTTTTTGAGAATCGTCCATACTGTTTTCCAGAAGGGCTGAACCAGTGGACATTCCCACCAACAGTGAAGGAGTGTCCCTTTCTCGCCACATCCACGCCAGCATCGGTTGCTTTTGTTCTTTTGAATGTGGGCCAGTCTCTGAGGTGTGAGATGGTATCTCATTGTGGTTTTGATCTGCATCTCCCTGATGATTAATGATGTAGAGCATTTTCTCATGTGCTTTTTTGCCATTTGGATTTCTTCTTTGAGAAAGTTTCTGTTCATTTCATTGCCCCATTTTTGGATGGGGTTGGATGTTTTCTTCTTGTGGAGTTTAACCAGTATTTTGTATATTCAGGATTTTTTTTACAAAGTAAGTTTGTTAGGAGTTTTGCATTTGTTAAGTAAAACAGATTCTTTTCCAGGTCACTTTTTTAGTTTAGTTTAGTTTTGTTGTTGTTGTTGTTGTTTTTTCTTTTTTTTTTTATTTCCCAAGCATACATTGACCTTTTTTTTTCTTTCTTTCTTTTTTTTTTTTCCCCTTTATTTTATTTTATTTTTTTTAAAGTTGTAGATTTACAATTTTTTGTGCTTTGGTTTCAATTATACAATGATCAGATACCCATCCCTCCACCAGTGCCCATTTTCCACCACCATGGATAATATCCCTCCCACCCTCATCCCCCCATCCCCCCCTGCCTCTGTGGCAGGGCAATCCCCTGTGTTCTCTCTCTCCTTTTGGGTGTTGTGGTCTGCAAAAGAGGCATTGAGTGGCAAACATGTTCAGTCCATAGTCTACTTTCGACATGCATCTCCCCTCCTGGGAGGATCCTCCAAACACCCTTTATTTGGTGCTCCCTTCTCTATCTGAACTGCCCTTTCCTCTAGGATACCCGGCTGGCCTCTAAGGGAGGAAAGTACTAGGGAAAGATTTCATACTAGGAACTGAATTGAAACATGAAAAATCAAAATTAAAACTTCTTTTCTTCCTGTTAGACTAGGAATACAGGAAGGGCAGAATTATCCTGTGCTCTTTAGACTAGGCTGAGTCTTTTGATTAATCCAGGCAGTTGAATGACTTCTCTCTTGTCTCAATATTAAAGAAATATTTATTCAGTTGCCCCTGTTGAACAGAAAATTTTCCTTAGAGCATTCAAAGGAAGTGTAAGCATTTAGAATTAATGCATGACATGGAATTCGTACATTCCAGTTCTGTGAATCTTGGGCCAATTTGTTTTCTGATGGGCTTGATGATATTAAATTTTTCATAAGGGCAAAGTGAGGACATTATGAATTAATCTACATAAAGTACTTTGTAGTGCTTGTTGAATCCTATTAATATGATTATTAATAAAATTGTATTATATTTCAAGTATAATTAGTTCCTATTATATATTTATTTTAGTATATCTTAAATTTTAAATAATCTGAAAGGTTTTTTCCCACTGTAAAGGGGCATGAAGTTCCTTTCCTTGAACGACATTTGGAGAAGATTCATTGTGCATCCATTAATTCTTTTTTTTTTTTTTTTTGCTTTTTGGGTCACAACTGGTGATGCACAGAGGTTACTCCTGGCTCTGCACTCAGGAATCACCCCTGGCAGTGCTCAGGGGACCATATGGGATGCTGGGAATCAAACCCCCGGGTTGCCGCGTGCAAGGCAAACGCCCTACCCGCTGTGCTATTGCTCTAGCCCCCATCCATTAATTCTTAATGAACTCATCATTTCTGTTATTCCGAATCTCTGTTTTGGATAATCATATGGGAACTTTTAGCTTCATTTGAGAATCCTACAGCAATTTCTATTTCTTTATCCTTCTTTCATCAGCCACTATACTATAAGAAAAATAGGTAATAAGTGTGGAAATGCCCTGAATGTGTATTGCTTGCCCTTTCTTATGAGAGGTCAGGAATAGTTATTATATAAGAAAAAGATTTTTAGATAAGCCAGACAGTTGAATCTGTTATGTTTATCTATCTAGATTTAGATTACAAAAGAGAATAAACTGTTTCATAGCAGCTATAAATTCAAATCTATATGCTGAGAGATCTGATTACAATTTTCATTCCTCCAACTGAATGGGAAAGGGAGAATTTGCATGACAGAGCCATTCTTTAAGGTGAGGATGAATAAACAGAGATTAGCTAGGATCTGAGGCTTTTACTAATGCCCAACATCCCTTTTTTACTGCTTGTTCTCTGGGTTGATGCCTAGGTCACACCATATGCTAATTTTCCTTTCAGTGCATGTAAGCTGTGTGATCTCTGCCTGAGGCACCAGCCATTTGATTCTATCAGACACCAGGATATTGAAGTTCTGAAGCTCCTGGTCGCTGGTGGATTAAATTTTCTTGAGCTGTTACTCATTTATATTTTTTTGTACATAAATGAATAGTGTCCCACATTACCTTGGGTCTCAGTGGTGCTTACAAGTTTGACTTGATAAGCTTGACTTGATAGCTGATGAACAGCATTATTTGTGTTGAAATTAAATCTAGCTGGTACTATATTTTCAAATGGAAATTCTGCGTGAAGTTTGCTATCTTATGCTCCTTTGTGAACAAGAAAGAAATCAAGTTTTATTTCTTGAGCCCTCTTTTTATGTTTGCAATGATTGAAATATAGGAACGAAGGGAGTATGCCTCTAATGAATGGTATGCATACAGAATGTCACCTTTCATTTAAAGAATATGACATGAAATGTTTTTAAAATATTAGGTACAAGGGCCCAAGCAATAGTACAGCAAGTAGGACATTTGCCTTGCACGCAGCTGACCCGGGTTCGATCCCCGGCATTTCATATGGAGTCACTCATGAGAGAAGTGTCAGGAATAACTCCTGAGCATTGCTGGGAATGGCCCAAAAACAAGCCAAAAAGTAAATAAATAAAATATTAGGTAAAGCCCACAAACATATTTCCTCTTATTTCCTCTTTTAGTACACTTACTTTTTTTTTATTTTTTAGAGCAGTTACAATAGTTACAATAATAGATGAACTAATATGGCATTATTCTTAATAATTTACTTTTGTTTGTCTGCATATTATTTTCTACTCTTGCAGTTACTGTAATCCCAGTATAATAGAAATGAAGCAGTTGTTTATTGTCATAGATACTCTCTCAATTCATACAAGCAAATTTGATGCTAAAAGAATAACCTAAAAACGTTGAGTTTAATATAGGAAAGTTCTTAAATGTCAAATCATTTTCAAAATCTCAAACTTCTTTTTTCTCTTGCAGTGAGAGGTTTTTCTTGCGGCTAAATAGAAATGGACTTCCCAAAGCCCCAGATAAACCAGAACGACATTGCTCTCTTTTTGTGGTAAGTGAATGTAATTATATACATGAGATATATTCTTCCAATTGTGCTTTGATTTTTTTTTTCTTTTTTTTTTTTTTTAATTTATTTATTGAATCACTGTGGGAAAGGTTACAAAGCTTTCAGGTTTATGTCTCAGTCATGCAAATATCAAACACATTTCCCTTTACCAATACTTATTTTTTACCATGAAAAACCCCAATAAAACCCCACCCCCCACCCCTCCCCGTCCCTGTGAAGCAGATGAATTCTAGTTAACACTCTATCTGCTTTGATTAGATTCATTGTTTCAATAAAAGATTCACCACTATTATTTAGAGTTTACCCCCCCCCCCCCAAATCAGACATGCTGAAAAAGCATTGTGAAGTGATTTGCTTTCTATAGCTGGGTTCAAGAATTAAATGTTGGTTTTGGATTTCTGCTCTTTTACCTATTGACCCTGGAAGTATTTCTACTGAAAGTCAGATAGTTAAGAAATTGGTTTCTGTGTTCTGGAGTCCTGGCCGTGCTGGAGAGCCGCTCACGGGGGGCAACCGGTGGCCTCGGTAGGGCGTGAAGGGCGGACCGAAACGCCCCCCTTCCCATGAGGTTTTAGTCGCCCCCACACTCCCGGCTCATACCTGCTGTCCACAAGGCTCCCATGTGGCCGCCATCTTTCTTTCCAAAGAGGAGAGGGCGAATGGGGCAACACCCTTTCCCCTCCGGCAGACTTGATGGCCTGGATCAATGCAGAGTCCGTTCACTTTTCTGCTCCAAGCTGCTGGGTTCTGCATTAAGTCCTTGTGCTTCTGGGGCCGTGGCCGTGCCGGAGAGCCGCTCGCGGGGGGCAACTGGTGACCTCGGTAGGGCGTGAAGGACGGACCAGAACGCCCCTCTTCCCATGAGGTTTTAGTCGCCCCCACACCCCCGGCTCATATCTGCTGTCCACAAGGCCCCCATGTGGCCGCCATCTTTCTTTCCAGAGGGAGGAGGGCGGAAGGGAGCAACACCCTTTCCCCTCTGGGCAGAAATGATTGCCTGGATTAACGCATAGTCCTTTCACTTTTCTGCTCCAAGCTGCTGGGTTCTGCATTAAGCCCTTGTGCTTCTGGGGCTGTGGCCGTGCTGGAGAGCCGCTCGTGAGGGGTGACTGGTGACCTCGGTAGGGCGTGAAGGACGGACTGGAACGCCCCCCTTCCCATGAGGTTTTAGTCGCCCCCACACCCCCGGCTCATACCTGCTGTCCACAAGGCTCCCATGCGGCCGCCATCCTTCTTTCCAGAGGAGAGAGGGCGAATGGGGCAACACCCTTTCCCCTCCGGCAGACTTGATGGCCTGGATTAACGCATAGTCCTTTCACTTTTCTGCTCCAAGCTGCTGGGTTCTGCATTAAGTCCTTGTGCTTCTGGGACTGTGGCCGTGCTGGGGAGCCGCTCGTGGGGGGCAACTGGTGACCTCGGTAGGGCGTGAAGGACGGACCAGAACGCCCCTCTTCCCATGAGGTTTTAGTCGCCCCCACACCCCCGGCTCATACCTGCTGTCCACAAGGCTCCCATGTGGCCGCCATCTTTCTTTCCAGAGGGAGGAGGGCGGAAGGGAGCAACACCCTTTCCCCTCTGGGCAGAAATGATTGCCTGGATTAACGCATAGTCCTTTCACTTTTCTGCTCCAAGCTGCTGGGTTCTGCATTAAGCCCTTGTGCTTCTGGGGCTGTGGCCGTGCTGGAGAGCCGCTCGTGGGGGGCAACTGGTGACCTCGGTAGGGCATGAAGGACGGACCGGAACGCCCCCCTTCCCATGAGGTTTTAGTCGCCCCCACACCCCCGGCTCATACCTGCTGTCCACAAGGCTCCCATGCGGCCGCCATCCTTCTTTCCAGAGAAGAGAGGGCGAATGGGGCAACACCCTTTTCCCCTCTGGGCAGAAATGATGGCCTGGGTTAACGCATCGTCTGTTCACTTTTCTGCTCCAAGCTGCTGGTTTCTGCATTAAGTCCTTGTGTTTCTGGGGCTGTGGCCATGCTCCAAACTTAACTCTGATTTTCAGGGAGAAAGATTGGGTGGTTTACTTCTCATTGATCACTTTGTATATAGAGAGATGTCGCGCGGCCGCGTAAGCGGCCGCGCGGTTTTGAGAAAAAGTCCTCGTTCCCGCATACTCGAGCTGTGTTTGTAGAGGCTTCTGGTCACCAGGGTTCCATCTGGGGGAGGCGGGATGCGGCGCCTACTCCATCTGGAACTTCCCGGTGCTCTCGGCTCTTTTTGGAACCTGTTTTTTCTTTTTTCTTTTCCTCCGGGATCCCGCACCCTCCATGTGTTCCTTCTCTTATTCTGAACGTTTCAAAGATGGCGCTGGGGGGCGGGCTGTGGGCATGACTTCTGGGATCAGAGGTTACCTGGGAGGTGTAGTCCGGCAGATTTGAGAAAAAGTCCTCGTTCCCGCATACTCGAGCTGTGTTTGTAGAGGCTTCTGGTCACCAGGGTTCCATCTGGGGGAGGCGGGATGCGGCGCCTACTCCATCTGGAACTTCCCGGTGCTCTCGGCTCTTTTTGGAACCTGTTTTTTCTTTTTTCTTTTCCTCCGGGATCCCGCACCCTCCATGTGTTCCTTCTCTTATTCTGAACGTTTCAAAGATGGCCTGTGCTTTGATTTTTGAAGAGAGATAAGTTATTGGGGAGAACAGTGAATTTTAAATAATTCACAAATTATAACAGTTTTCATAATTCTGAATCTCACTATTCATTTGTTCTTTTTATGTTACAAATAATAATTATTAATTTTTGATACATTTTTGAGCCTGTTATACTATTGACCAAGGCTTTGTGATAATAGGGATTAATGGGACACCTATTATTGAATACATGTTTAATAAATGTTTAAAGAATGAGTGCAAGAAGAAAGCTAGAGTGGATTTTCTTTTTATATATTACTTAGCATCAGTAGATTCATAGTAAAGTTATTTACAGTGATATCATTAGAACAGGATTTGAACCACACGGTTTTATGATTTAAAGAATTAAAATACCAGGGACTGGAGAGATAGTACAGTGAGTAGGGTACCTGCCATGCATGCGGCCAACTCAGACTGAATCCACATCATCCCATATGGTCTCCTGGGCACTGCCAGGAATGATTCTTGAGTACAAAATCAGGAGTAACCCCTGAGCATTGCAAGATGTGGCCCAAAACCAATTTTTTAATAAAATTCTGTTAAGAATATCTGTGGTTGGAGAGATAATACAGTGGGTAACATACTTACTGTATGCAGACTACCCATATCAATCTCAGACACAAGATATAGTCTCCCAGGACCACCAGTTAATGACGTCCGAATGCAGAGCCAGGAGTAAGCCCTGAGCATAGGAAGGTCACTGTCACTGTCACTGTCTTCCCGTTGTACATTGATTTGTTCGAGTGGGCCCAGTAACATCTCAATCATGAAACTTGTTGCTACTGTGTTTGACATATTGAGTACTTCATGGGTAGCTTGCTAGGCTTTGCCGTGCGGACAAGATACTCTCAGTAGCTTGCCAGGCTCTCCGAGAGGGGCGGAGAAATCGAACCCAGCTCGGTTGGGGTGACTGCGTGCAAGGCAAACACCCTACTGCTGTACTATCACTCAAGCCTGAGCATAGGAAGGTGTGGTCCCTATATCAAAATAAATAAATAAATAAATAAACACTGTGCTCATCTTAGTTCTAATATTTTTGAAAATACTATGTTCTGTTTGTTCTCTCCTTTTAGTGCTTCCACATAAATCTGAAATAATCAGACTTTGTCTTTTGGCAGGATTTGGGTAGCAGTGAGCTAAGAAGGGACATCTATATCACTGTGCACATTATCCGAATTGGTAGGTATAACTCTTATTGTTGTGATTGTGGTTTATTTTCGGTATGCATCAGAAATAAGTCAAAACCAAATATGGTACCAAGAATCATAGAATTGGGTAATTGGGTCATTTCTACCCAAACTCATATGCAGTCATAACTTTGTCCTCTTTCCTTGGAAGTCATTTAATGATATGTTGTGTTTCATATTTTGGGTTTTTTGTTTGTTTGTTTACTTTGGATGACTTAAGTACATTCCATTTTCAAAATTGGTGTTTATCTTTTACAATTCTAATTTCTTTTGACAACATAAATAGACTTTTAGGAATGGGTTTGCCTGAAAGTTCATAAAACTTTATAGCAGTTGGCATTTGATCCAAGTGCTGAATGCTCCAGCACATTATTATATGATTTCAATAATAAGAGGGTTATGAAATATAATTTTCCCCACTTGTTATATCATCATCAGCTTGTTTAAGTAGCCAAGAAGTTCCACAAAGAAAAATGAAAATGTCTTCTTAATTTTTTTAACCCTAGCTTTCCCAAAATTTGATTTGATTGTGGAAATATTTATATAAAACTTTTTAACATCATACAGAACACAGTTTGCGTGCTCTGTGATGAGCTTGCACAATGGAACCAAAATTTGGTCTCTCTTTTTGCTCATGAACTATCTCTAAAAGCAAGCATTTTAGGACGAAGGAACTAGACAAAACAAGGAGCAAACAGAGAATTGAACAAAGAGCAAAACAAAACAGGGAACAACCAGCTAACTATCTGATACTGGAAATTGTTTCCTAATTCTTTAACTGCTCTGTTATGTCTGCTGCAGGCATGTTGTTGCACACTAGTAACATTGTACTGTGTAGTCCTGCATAGTGATCTTGATTTTTATAGCATTTTCTGTTAGACTTATGGTAATCACATGTATTTTGAGAGCTCATAAAACATTGTCATTCCAATTTAGATTTTTAATATTTTTTTCTTATAAAGGTCTTTTCTGAAAACCCATTTATATTTAGTCCTATGTTTTTATGCTGAGGGGGGTAGTAGACACAGAACAAAAGTATGCTGTTTTTAATTTTGTTGAATTCAATTTTTTTCCTTTTCTCTCTTCTTTTTTTTTTTCTTTTTGGTCACACCTGGCAGTGCTCAGGGGTTACTCCTGGCTCTGCCTGAGCAAATCTTACTCCTGGTTATGCTCAGGGGACTATATGGGATGCTGGGGATTGAGCCAGGTCAGCCATAATACTCTTGACTTCAGCCCGAATTCTGTCTTTTATAAATGAAAATGGTGTTTGTTGTGTGTGTATTGGGGGGGGTGCATTGATAAGATCTCTTAAAGCGTTGGATGTTAAAATGTATGTTCCTATGTGTTTATGGTATATTCCTTCCCAGGGTGGCATTGGTACAGCATTATACGATTCTTGGGGTGAGGAGGAGGAATTAGAGAGGGGATCCTAACAGGCAGAGCTCAGGGGACAACTCCTGGTAATTCTCAACCAACCAGACCACATAAGAACCTGGGACTGTGGTACCGTTCTGGACTATACCCAGTGGGGACAGGGAAGCTTCCAAGGCTTCAACTGACAGTGCTTCAGAGACTGTCATGCAGGTCTGTACTGGGTCACCTCTCCCTTGTACCCCAGCTGAAGAATATTTTAATTTAAATTTGTAACAATAATTGGTCACATAAATGTAGCTTTGGATATCTTCATGAATACATTAATAAACATTAGAATATCATTCTATTATAGTAGTATAATTCTATTACAATATTACAATAAAGTAATTGTTTTAGCTTAGAGAACATTTTTAGAAGGAATCTGTAGGTTTCTGGTGACAGAGAGTCTACATCCCTTGCTTGGTCTCAAGGTCAGAGAGGCTGCCCTTAATTCACAAGATTATTGGTGATTATATAGCCACTCAGCAAGTCTCTCCAGTAGAGCGTGCCTTTCCAATACACATGACATGACGTTCTGGTAGGGAGGTGACTCAGAAGTCTGGAGCACAGACTGTTCATGCCCCTGAGGTTCCCAGTACCACATGACCCCCTCCCCCCAAGAACCAACTCTCACCCTCACCAGGTATTTTGCCTTAAAACAGACAAAAGCAAGACTTGGTGTTTGATTAGCAATAACATTTTTCGTAAGATTTTGGCAATCATTTAGTCAGTAAAATGCAGTGTTGACTCTGAAATTAATCCACCTTCCCAGTCCAATCAACTTTGCTCACATTAATGCTTCTCTGAGATTACTATGGAAAATGAACCTCAAGAACACATTTAGTTCCTAAACATTTTGAGGCTAAAGAGAAAAATGATGTAAGACTCTCTTAGAAAGGTTAAGACTTAGTCTGTCTGCTATAAAAGTAAGAGGGGGAGGATCCTTGCCTATTATGCACAGATACATCTTACTTTTTCTAGAAAGTTCTTTGCACCTATTTTCTTTTGATAGCAGCGCACTGACCCTCATTAGTTGCAGAAGCAGGAGCTATGGTTCCTTCCTTCTGAAAATCAAAGCCCAGAACTTTAATTGGAAAGAAGTGGGGGACAATGAGTCGTTTCCTGTCCTACTGCCCCTTGAACTTAAATTCTTTCTACCTCTACCTGATACTTCTTTCAGGGTTGCTAGATATTTTTAGTTTTTTACACTTCTTCCTGCTTAGAAAAATTTTTGCCAAACTATGCATTTTCATTAGAGTTGGGAACACCAGGACTGGGATCAAATAGTCATCCCAATACAGTCCATAGAACAAAGCTGATGTGCCACAGAGCCGGGAAAGAACTTAAAATTGAGTATCTGTGGGTATGAATGGTATGTTTATGAGTTGAGCTTCACTAGAAGCTTGTAAGAAAGCATGCCCTATGACTCCTTTTTGGGTAGCATTTGCAAGTCCATGGTCTTTTTTCTTCCATGTATTTTAGCTGAAAGAATGGGGGGTTGACTGACATGTATGCCACACCCCTGTAAAAACATCTAAGAGTTAAGAGTTACCAGAGTCCTAATAAGGAATCTTCAGTGGTTCTGGTCCTAGGCTATAATCTTCAGTATTTGAGTTTTCTGTTGTTTTATGAATGAGCTTCCTTTGAAATGCTATAATCATGTTCTTGTCCTATATTTACAAGGAAATGGTTAATAAAAATGTTAACTTTAATAATCTTTGTAAAGATTGAGTTATCTATTTTTCCTAATGTAATCTGTAATAATATTTAGAGTAATAATAAACTTTCAATCTATTGCCATGCCTCTGGAGACAGATTTGCAATTTGTTCTCCATTGCTGATGCTTACATTGTTGTTGTTGTTTTTTCTTTTTTGCTTTGGGGAGTGATGCTCAGGGGTGCACCCAGCTTGGTGCTCACAGTCACACCTGGCAGTACTTAGAGGACTATACATGCCAGAAATTGGAACTGGGGCTCCTGCCTGCGAAGCATGCAACTCTGGCCATGCTTTGATTTGAATTAGCAACTCAATCCCCTCATTGAATATTATATATCCAGTATTTTTTTCACTGTAATTCAGTGGTAATTAAATATCAATAATACGTGAGAACCGCATCTCAGTAACATACTTCAAACAGCAGTTGAAACTCTGTAAGAGTAAAAGCCATCCAGGGGATTTCAGTGATCCGGTTACATTCCACCTGAGCCCTGAAAGAGCTGGCTTACTTGATCACCTCTGCTCACTTGTGATACTTTAGGGATTCTCAAATTGCTTTCTCTCAGAGTTGAAATTTTTAAATGCCTGTTTTTTTAAAGAAGGAAGGAAGGGAGGAAGGAAGGGAGAAAGGAAGGAAGGAAGGAGGGAGGGAGAGAGGAAGGAAGGAAGGAAGGGAGGGAGGGAGGGAGGAAGGAAGGAAGGAAGGAAGGAAGGAAGGAAGGAAGGAAGGAAGGAAGGAAGGAAGGAAGGAAGGAAGATGAGTTGTGTGAGATAGCTCAGTGACCGGGTGTAATTATGAGGCCTCCACTTCAGTCTTCGGCAAACCCCCTCCTGCCCCTGACCCCTGCCTACTAGCTAAGTGTAAATATTTTAATGGGATTATGAGTACTACAGTCCCCACCACAGCAGCAATGAAAGAGAAGGGCAGGGTGGAGTGGCGGGAAGGGGGAAAACACCCTGAACAAATAGAACATGAAGTAGACACCATCACTGAATACGCCTGCTGTGCCTTCATAACTCCCTGACAAGAAGACTCCAAACATGGAATCACATCCAGCTGTGCTGGTGCCTGGCAGCTGATGCCCAGGATGTAAGCCCTTGCTTGTAGCCACCCAGCTAGATTGATGGAGAGAGCTAAAGACTGAGTAACATCTCCACTGCCCCAAACCTGTGCCTTCATCACCCAGTTGATATTTCGACGGGTCTGTCTCCTGACTGTGTGTGGATGTTTAAGAGGCAGTAGTTAAATGGCCCCGTGGGTCATGTTTGCTTTTCACCTGAACAGGCCGGATGGGAGCAGGAGAGAAAAAGAATGCCTGCAGTGTCCAATACCGGCGGCCTTTCGGGTGTGCGGTTCTCAGCATTGCTGACTTGCTGACAGGAGAGACGAAAGATGACCTCATCCTGAAAGTGTACATGTAAGGAGTGTGCTTGTGGGAACTTCTGGGGGGTGCGGTGGTCATGTGTACCTTGGATGTTGTGAGTTTGACATCACATGGGCAGTGGAAGAGGACAGGAAGGGTTGAGTTTGTGAGCCATTTCTTGAAAACTCAGCCATCTGCGGCTGGGGAGATAGAATAGTGTGTAGGGCATTTGTCTTGCACATGGCCGACCTGAGTTCAATCCCCAGCATCCTATATGGTCCTCTGAGCACCACCAGGAGTAATTCCTAAATGCAGAGCCAGGAGTCATCACAGACCATTGTTGGGTGTGCCCCAAAAGCCCAAACTCAAACAAACAAACAAAAAATCCCACAGTCATCAATAGACCCACTACAGGTGAGCCCACAAATCACCGTTTGCCAGTCAAAACAGTTGGGAAATCAAGAACCAAAGAATGTAGTTTAAGAATTGGGAGAACCACCTGCTACCTCAAGTATATCTTGTGATGTGCAAAACCTAATGTGCCTTAGAACTTTAATATAAAATGAACGGGAATGAGTAAGCATTAGTAAAGAGAAGCATCCATGATTGCCCTCCTACTTCATAGATTAATTTGCTATGGCTGCCGTAACAACATACTTATTTCTACTAGCTCACCTTTCTGAAGTCTGGCAATCTCAGATTGGAGTCCCAGCAGGTCTGGTTCCTTCTGAAGATTTCCAGGGGGTCCATTCCCGGCTGCTCTCTTAGTTCTGGTGGTTAGCGGTGAATCTCTAATGTTCCCTGAGCTGTAGCTACTTATTCCATGACTTCCATAGGCACTTGAAATTTTCTCTTTGTATGTGTCTGTCACCGTTCTCATTTCCCTTTGTATTAGGACACAGTCCTATTGTGTTAACGCCCTATCCCTGGCCAGTGACCTCTGTTAACTTCTTTCTTCTGTAAAGATCCCTTCACCAAGAAGGTCACTCTCAGGGAACTAGAGTTATTACTTCGACATCCCTCTTGAGAGGGATGCAGTTCAACTGATACTGCACTAAGATCACTTCAAGGTTTTGAGTTTTCCCCTATGGTCTCTAGATTTGCAAAGTGGGAATTGATCTACACGAACATCCTCAGGGAGACCCTGTAGAAGGAGGTGGGAGGACCAAACTTCCACTCATCACCTCAAGCAATGAACTTTCGTTTTCTGTGCTGAAGGTGCATTGATAAATCTGGATGTCCCAGTCCTCTTTTCTAGCACACAGTCTGGGGGACTTACCCCTCAGGTCCCTTTTTGGCCCCTGCTGCAGGGTTTCATGGATTTATCAACCCTCTACCAGTGCTGCTGGATGGATGTCACACGTTTTCAAATTAGTGACAAAGATTGGTCTGTAACCTGTGGTTTCATGCCAGAAACTCATTCCCTTGTGCTTTATAGATAAAAAGGTCACCTTGATTTTAAAATTACAAACTTGGCTAAATCTAGTGAATAGTAAAACTGCAGCCCCTGTCTTTGTGTGGTATCCGTTTCAACCGTTGGGCTGAAGTTTATGATAATCCTTCCAACTCTTTGAAAAGTTATTTGAAACAATACTGATGATAATGGTTGCCCTTTACACATCATCCTTAAAGCAGATCCATAAAGCAGAAGCTATCGACTCAGTTTTATATCTGAGGACTCAGAGAGGCTAAATGACTTACCAGGGTCACTCAGCTAATATAAGAACAAAAATCAGATTTGAGTTCAGAACTGCCTGATCCCAGAACTCTCCTGTAACCAAATTGTATGTTCGCGGGTATGATTTCCACCTCTCTCTAGTAAATGTTATAATGAGGCTTCTATGTGGCATTGCTTTTTAAGAAAACTAAAATGTCTCACAGGCTTGTCATTTCTTGGTCTTGTCTCCACAGGTGTGGTAGCAAGATATGTATATATACATATATATACATATATATATACATATATATATGGGCTGGAGTGATAGCACAGTGGTAGGGCGTTTGCCTTGCACGCAGCCAACATGGCCGACCCGAGTTCGATTCCTCCACCCCTCTCGGAGAGCCCGACAAGCTACCGAGAGTATCTCGCCCCCACGGCAGAGCCTGGCAAGCTCCCCGTGATGTATTCGATATGCCAGACACAGTAACAACAAAGTCTCCAATGGAGACGTTACTGGGCCCGCTCGAGCAAATCGACGAACAACGGGAGGGCCTTTACCTTTACCTTTACCTTATATATACATATATATATGTAGTCAGTGGGGAGTGCTGAGGGTCCAAAGGTTTCCTCTATCATCAGAAGACCTGTGAATTTCCACACTGTCTAACGGAGAGAGTATCTCATAAAAAATAAATTGTACCACTCTTTGTGTTATTATTGTCTGTATTTTCAGAGCAATAAATAAGTATGGGGTTATTCTTGCTAGAAGAGAGATCTTGTAAAACTGCCACCCCAGTCAATGATAAAACTGTTCCAGAAAAAAACTAACCAGCCAAAAACAGTCATTGAAGCTTAAGAAAGAGCTATGAATTGGCTAAAATATTTTAGGAAAATGCCTATTAGAAATCATTTGGAATAAGTCTCTGGTATGGTGTCTAAATCCCTGAGCCTCAAATATGGAACAGTAGTAAGTCCCCCTCACCTGATCCTGAAAGATAATTTAAGGTGCTGTTTTAGGAGCTTTGATTTTGTTTGGACTTTAGTAGGTTAAAAGCATGAATTTTGGAGTCACTTAATAGCTATTAGGAAGCAAGCCATCTTTCTTCCTTTCCCACTGAGCTGAAATAAGAAAACTGGAGGCAGAATGTACTAAATGGCAATTTAGTGTCTTACAGCTGGACAGGTGAATTGGTTTCATTCCATCTTAATCTTCTGGCCTTCCAAGACTCAGTGCTCTGTTTGGCATCCTACTGTTACAGGCTCAAAAATAAACTCCCCATCAGATTCATCCTGGAAAAAGACTTTGGTGATGAAATAAATATACAGGTCAGGTGTAAGCAAGAAGAATATCTTTTGTGGAACACTTTGATTGATAATGTCTAAAATCTTGATATCCAGGGTTCTTAAGAAGAAGGGTGTTTGTAACTGATAAGATAGAATAGTGAATTTGCAAATGGTAAAGGTAAGGCCCTCCCGTTGATCGTCGATTTGCTCGAGCGGGCCCAGTAACATCTCCATTGGAGACTTTGTTGTTACTGTGTCTGGCATATCGAATACTCTCGGTAGCTTGCCGGGCTCTCCGAGAGGGGCAGAGGAATCGAACTCGGGTCGGCCATGTTGGCCGCGTGCAAGGCAAACGCCCTACCCGCTGTGATCCCCACCCTAATTGCAGGAGCTCTGAAGGTAAAAAGGTAATTACTTTACAAATAATGTGGATATTTACAATCCAGATATTTATGAGTCATCTGGAATTATCAGTCAGAGGGACATCCATCTATTATTCATTCTGCAGCTGATGTTTGTTAAGCACCCATCACATACAGAGTCCTCCAGGGAACACAGATATCAACCATTCCTAGGTCTGTCTAATTCCCCAGAACCATAAGAGTCTTCTGGTGACTCACCAAATGTGAATGTGAACAAAATAATAGGAGTTAGCAAGTGATAAGAGCTTAAAGAATATGGTACGGATAACTTTGAGACTCAGAATATGGAAAAATGCTTTTTAGCTCAGAAATGGAAAAGCTGGGAGGGCAATTTAATTATCCTTTGGTAAATTCTACCAGGCCTTTGTCAATGCACCTTGCGTTCACTTCAGTATTATTTTTTCTGACTGTTGCATTTTGATGCTCACATAAGTTGGTCATGTAACAGTAGGCTGAGTCTTGCTAATGAGACCTAACATATATCAATCATTTACTGTTTTGTAGATTTTATCCTAAACCCAAACTCATTGAATGTTCAGAGATGAAAGAAATCAAAGCACTGACGGGATAAATAACTTAACCGTAAATGTTTCAATGTTAATAGTGAGGATTCAAATGCAGGGAATCCTCACTTAACCTTCACTCTGCCTGAATTTTTCTTTGAGATTTTCTGGAAGAGGTTCTCATAATCTGTGAGTTGGTCATCCCAGCCACTTCTAATATGAAATAGATGGTGAGGCATTGCCAGATAGGGACAGTACTCCCACTGGAGTGACTATCACTGCAGAAAGTTGTTGGAGACTAGAAAGAGGCTTGCAGAAGCTGCTATTATAGTTGTTACCACGAACAGTGCAGGTATGCTGCTACAAAGGATATTGCATGAACCTATACATCATCAAAGTTTAACAGAGTGCTAATGTTTTCATAGGTGTAACACCGAGAGTGAGTGGTACCAAATACATGAGAACATCATCAAAAAGCTAAATGCACGTTATAATTTGACTGGTTCCAATGCAGGTGAGTATTGGGTTTGGCTGACTCTTCCTACATGTATCATTTTAGGTCCTTTCTTTTATTTGTATAAGATGAAAGGGGCTAGTCCTTCATTTTCATCTGTATTAACTCCTTATATTGAATATAACACTCAAGCTACATGAGTGTCTCTTTATGCTATGAATGGCATGCTGCTATCACTCTAAAAATTTAATGTGTTCAACACTAGCAAATCCTGAAATTTGTAAATTGTTATTCTTTACTAAAATCCAAATGACAGATATGCTTGGATTCAAGGTTGTAGTGTTAAATATGTTTAATGAATGGAAATCTGCCAGTAAGGTCCAATAAACATGCTTTATTGCCTTTGGCTGGAAGCAACATTACTGTACTGGTGAACAAACATGCAGGCTCATGTGTTGAATTGGCTTAGAAAGAAAGTAATACTGACTATAGATTAATGTAGAGAAAAATGTACACTTGCTTTTTTCTGAAGATAACTGAAATATATAACATTTTAAACTTCATATAAGGTACACGATGATACTATTAAGATTATAGATATATTACATTAGTTTTATGTCTAGATTAGATTACATATATGACATTTTTAAGTTTATTTAAAAAACAGAAACTTGGTTAATATTGTTTATTCCTTATCTCACTTTCAGTCGCATGTGGATGCAAAGTAAACCCTGCAATTATGTCCTTTAATTCACTAGTTTCAACCCTTTATCCTGCTGGTGAGCAAAGACTGCATATTGATCCACAGACCAGTATTTGAAAACCACTGGTTTGAACTATAAGCTTAAAAAACTACTGTCACTGTCACTGTCACTGTCCTCCCATTATTCATCGATTTGCTCGAGCGGGCCCAGTAACATTGTGAGACTTGTTGTTATTGTGTTTGGCATATCAAATACGTCACAGGTAGCTTGCCAGGCTTTGCCGGGTGTGCGAGATATTCTCAGTAGCTTGCTGGGCTCTCCAAGAGGGGCGGAGGAATCGAACTTGGGTTGACCAGGTCGGCCTCGTGCAAGGCAAAAGCCCTGCTTGCTGTGCTATTGATCCTTTTTCTTTACTGTTCTTGGTACTGCCACCAACCAGGAAGAGCTAAATCTTATTTTCACTAGTGTCCTGGATGGTTCCCACTGAGTAAACTTGGTCAAGAACCTAGGCTCAGAGGCAAACAAAATGTAGGAATTAGAAAGAAGCTTTAATCACTGCCTATGATCCCTTTGTGAGAATCAGTTCAATCACACAGACATTTATCATTCCTCTGATACCAAAGACATCTGCCATGTGGACAGCTCAAAAGCCGACTAATGATCATGCAAAATTCAGTGTAACTTCTCTGTCGTTCTATACGTTTGCCTGATTAATTTAGTGTGTAGGTCTTTGTGGCCATTCTGTCCCAAATCAAGAAGGAAACAAAACATTCTCAAATTCATGGTCTCCCTTGTGCATTCCAAGCTTCCTCCTCCACTAGCTTTATATTAACTGGTGTTTCTGGAAAAAACTACTATTTGAACTAAGTGCAATGCCTTTTATTTTTTTTCCAATGTTGTTAATTTTATTTTTTATTTAATTTAAAAAAATTTTTTTTATTAAAAATTTTTTAATAGTGAGACATCATGAGGTACAGTTGCAGACTTACACATTTTTGTGCTTGGATTTCAATTATACAATGATCAAACACCCATCCCTCCACCAGTGCCCATTTCCCACCACCACGGATCCCGGTATCCCTCCCACCCCCCCATCCCCCCCCTCCCCCCGTCTCTGTGGCAGGGCATTCCCCTCTGTTCTCTCTCTCCTTTTGGGTGTTGTGGTTTGCAAAAGAGACATTGAGTGGCAATTGTGTTTGGTCTATAGTCTATAGTCTATAGTCTAATTGTGATTGAAAGTACTGGTGGCAGTACTTTCAGCATGCTTCTCTCATCCTGGGAGGATCCTCCCAACACCTTTATTTGGTGTTCTCCTCTTTATCTGAGCTCCCTTTTCCCCTAGTATGTGTGGTTGGCCTCCAGGTCATGGAGTAAAATTCCTGGTACTAATCTCGGCCATTCTTGGATGTTAGTTTCCTATTTTGTTACTTTATGTTCCCCAGATGAATGCAATCTTTTATGTCTATCCCTTTCTTTCTGAGTCATTTCACTTAACATGATACTTTCCATGCAGTACCACTTGTTTTTTTTTATCTTACATCTTGTCATCTTTTTTTTAATAATTTATTTATTTATTGAATCACTGTGGGAAAAGTTACAAAGCTTTCATGTTTAGGTCTCAGTCATGCAAATATCAAACACCTTTCCCTTTACCAATACTTATTTTTTACCACGAAGAACCCCAATAAAACCCCACCCCCCACCCCTCCCAATGCCTACGAGGTAGATGAATTCTAGTTGACACTCTATCCATGCAGTACTACTTGTATGTAAATTTCATGACTTCATCTTTTCTAACAGCTACATTGTGTAAATGTACCAAAGTTTCTTTAACCAGTCATCTGTTCTCGGGCACTCAGGTTTTTTCCTGATTCTGGCTATTGTAAAGAGTGCTGCAATAAACAGACAATTGCAGATGTCACTTCGGCTATACTTTCTTGCCTCTCTGGGATATATTCCCAGGAGTGGTATTGCTGGGTCAAATGGGAGCTCAATTTCTAATTTTTTGAAAAAATATGGAACGCTTCATGAATTTGCATGTCATCCTTGCACAGGGGCCATGCTAATCTTCTCTGTATCGTTCCAAGTTTAGTATATGTGCTGCCGAAGCAAGCACAATGCAATGCCTTTTAATTAAAAATAATAATTTTATTAAAACTCCCTAGTTTATAAAGTTATTCATAATACAGTTATTTTAGGCTTACAATGCTCCAACACCAGTCTGTCTACCAGAGCAGTAGTACAGTGCACAGGGTGCTTACCTTACTTGTGGCTTGCAGGTTCGATCCTTGGCATCACATATGGTCCCTGGAGCCCTCTCAGGTGTAATTCCTGAGCACAAAGCCAGGAGTAAGCCCCAAGCATCAACTGGGCATGGGCAAAACAAAACAAAAACAGAGAAAAATTTTAAATGCACTTCTTTTGAAATACTGTTCTTATTTTGGTTTGGAAGACCACACCCAATGGTATGCAGAACTATTCAAAGCTTGGTTCTTAGGGGCTCAACTCCTAGAGGTACTGGGGATCAAATTGACATATCCCGTGTAAAGAGTACATGCTCTAGTCCTTTGAACTACCTCTCTGACCCTTTAGACTGATTTTAAAGAAACTTGAGTATAGGTTATTTGAGTTATAGTTCAGTCTGCCAGGCAACTACAAAAACCAAAATTTAAGCTCAGACCACCTTTTCATTCTGGCCTCTGCACATTATGTTAGGTACAAATCACCCATTTTTTAAAAGTAACTGCAAATAGAAATGTTATGGCTCAGTTCAATGAGAGCAGGAAGTTTCCACCCCCCATTCACAGTGCCAGCACATTATGCTGTTAAGCACAATGAGGTCAGTTTTCTCCTCCCTCTCCCAAGAGTTAAGGGAGTAAGTAGGGTTTTGTTTGAGTCACTACATTAAAATATGTTATTGTAACTTCCCCCAAATTGAAAAAAAAATTGAGCAGGGACAGCTACACCCTGTGGTGCTCAGGACTGACTCCTGATTCTGGGCTCAGGGATCACTCCTCGTGGGCTTGGGAGACGTATGCAATCCAGGGATCAAACCCAGCTTGGTCATGTGCAAGGCAAGTCCCCTACCCTCTGTACTATTGCTCTGGTCCCCAAATTAAAAATTTTTAAAGAACATTACAAAATATGCTAACAAAAGCAGAATTTCTAGAGGAGTTAGAAGAGGAGGATTGGTATAAATGAAATACAACATAAAGTCATAAGTATATCTTAGATGCTACTATGCACATTTGTCTTTAACTTAAATTACTTTTAGTAAAGTGGTATGTCTCCTGCCTCTTCTATTTTTTAGAAATTGAAAAAAACATTTGGGTCTTACTCCTGGTTCTACACTCAGGGATCACTCCTGGTGGGGTGCAGGAGACCATAGGGGTGCCAGGGATTGAATCCAGATTGGCTATTTGCAAAACAAGCACTCTACCTTCTATACCATTTAGCTCTGACCCCAAGATGAAGAGCCATTCTTATTCATTTTTATTTATTAATTTACATATTTTGGAAGGAAGGTTCCAGTTGCCTTTTGAATCAAGGTAAAGTTTTTGATGATAGGCTTTGATGTTTGCCTCTGAGAGATTCCTGTATTCTCAATGCTACTCATGAGTGTCAGAATTCCAGTAAAGGTAAATCCCAGATCTCTCTCTGCTTCCAGATGGGGGTCCTCTTGAAGAGACCCTTCGTACTCTTTGTTTTCTCCAGCACATTTTTTTTGCTGATATGATTAATGTCCCCTTTTAAGTAGATTCAATTTAACCATTGTGCTTCTGATCACCTCAATTAATTCTCGAAAGAAGCATCAGTCCTTTTTCCTTTTTGGAAAGTTCCCCAGAGGCTATAGGTACTACTACACATGTGGTTAACTGTCCACCTATACTATGTAGATATTTGTGTGAGACATCAGAAAATGCAATCCAAACCACCTAATCCCCAATTACAGCCTTATCCATTTGTAGCTATATACTGCAGTAAAATTTTGTTACATATTTGGAAGTCATAAAAGAAACCATTGTACTGGAAAGCCATAGAGAGGGTTTCCACGGGGCTGGAGAGATAGAACAGTGGGTAAGGTATTTGTCTTGTACGCAGCCATTCAGGGTTTGATCCCAAACATCTCGTATGGTTCCCTGAGCACCACCAGGAGTAATTCCTGAGTGCATTGCCAGGAATAACCCCAAGAGTTTTACCAGGTGTGACCCCAAAGCCAAGAAAGAGAGGTGGGGTGAGAGGGACGGAGGAAGGACAAAGAAAGGAAAGAAAGGGAAAAAGAGATGAAGGGAGGGAGGGAGTTCCCACTTCACTTGACAGACTTCATCCTTGGTCTTGCTGTGATATTTAGATTCC